TGCTGATGGATTACTTCGTTTCCAAGACAGGGTATGTGTCCCAGATGACAGTGAGTTAAAGAGAGACATCATGACAGAGTCCCATAGCTCGAAGTTTGCTATGCATCCAGGAAGCACCAAAATGTACCAAAGCATGCGACCCCGGTTTTGGTGAAATGTGATGAAGAGAGACATAGCCGACTTTGTATCTAAATGCTTGGTATGTCAGCAGGTCAAGACAGAGCATCAACGCCCAGGTGGGCTACTTCAACCTTTACCGATCCCGGAGTAGAAGTGGGAACATATCACCATGGACTTCGTATCGGGGCTACCCAAGGTACGTTCAGGACATGATGCCATATGAGTAATTGTTGTCCGACTTACCAAGTCTTCCCACTTCTTAGCCATCAGGATGACCGATCCCTTGGACAAGTTGGCAAGAATGTACATCCGGAAAATAATCAGATTGCATGGAATTCTAGTGACAGTGGTATCCGACAGGGACCCCAGGTTCACTTCTCGGTTTTGGAGTAGCTTTCAGCAAGTCATGGGAACAAAGCTGTCTCTCAGTACTGCCTTCTATCCTTAGACTGATGGACAATCAGAAAGGACAATTCGTACACTTGAGGATATGCTCCGAGCATGTGTCCTTGACTCCGGGGGTCATTGGGATGACCATCTACCCCTGATAGAGTTTGCCTACAACAACAGCTACCAAGCGAGCATCGGCATGGCTCCATATGAGGCATTATATGGGCGCCCGTGCAGATCACCGATTTGTTGGGAAGAAGTGGACGATAGAAGATTGTTCGGCCCGGAGTTAGTAGAGGAGACCACGTCTAAAATAGTTAAAATCAGAAAGAACATTCAGACAGCTCAGAGCAGGCAAAAGAGTTATGCAAACACTCGAAGGAGAGATCTAGTATTTGAGAAAGGTGACCGGGTGTTCCTTAAGGTCACTCCTTTCAAGGGAATTAATAGGTTCGTTAGGATGGAAAAATTGAACTCCTGATTTATTGGACCTTTTGAAATCTTAGACATGATTGGTACTGCTGCTTACAGACTAGCACTGCCTCCAGAGCTCTCCAAGATCCACAATGTGTTCCACGTATCCATGCTACGTAAGTACAACCCGGACCTCTCTCATGTCTTGGCTCATGAATCGCTTCCACTCCAAGAGGACTTATCTTATGAAGAAGTACCAGTCGGTATTACGGACCGAAAGAGCAGGATACTCTGCAACTGGAAAATATCATTTGTAAAGGTTGTGTGGCAGAACCACACGCCAAGGGAGGTTACTTGGGAGCTAAAATCAAACTTTAGAGTCCAGTATCCCCATTTGTTCGACCAAGAGTGAGAGGTAAATTTGGGGGACCAAATTTCTTTAAGTGGGAGAGAGTTGTAATACCCCAAAAATAAATTTTTTATTTTGGGTATTGGAATCTTTTTTTTGGATTTTATTTTTATTTTAATGGTTAATTTATTTTGTAATAATTATGTGGTTAACTTAATTTAATTTAGTTTAATAGAAATAAAAATAATAATAATGATAAAATATGGTTAAATTATTTTTGCGATTTAATTGTAATTGATTTTGGAAAAAAAAAGGTGAAAATTTAGATTTTGGGGATGTTTTTGAAAAAAAATCAGAAACCGGGAGTCAAAACGCAATTTAAGAAAGTTGTGCCACATCAAAGCCACGTCGGTAGCCCAGTCAGCAGTCCTGGCCAACCAGAAGACGCCCCATAGCAAGGAAGCTAACGCGGGAGACCACGCGGACAGAGCCACGTGAAAGATCTGCGCGCACGCGATCGAACGGTCCAGATCTCACGCGTGCGGATGGCCCAGATCTCACGCACACGGACGGTCCAAATCTCACGTGTGCGGACGACCCAGATTGAATCACGCACGGACGGTCCAGATCACATCGCGATGGACGATCCAGATTTATTTCTATTTTAATCGCGATCGGACGGTCTAGATTAAATCGTGATGGACGATTGAGATTAAAAGGAGCAGGTTATAAATAACCTCACCCACACCCGACCCCAAACCCTAGCCGTCAGTACCCTCGCTGGAGAAGAAGAACCAGTCGTCAGAGGAGCCGGCCGCCGCCACCCACCGCCGCACCGGAGGGTTTTTTGACAGCCAAACGAGGTAAATTTTCTCTCCTTGGCTCGTTTTTCGAAGCTAAATTCTCCTATGGCCAAATCGAAGCCAAATCACTGGCCAATCGGCTAGAAAACACCGCCAAAATCCAGCGGCGCCGCCGCGGCTTCTTTCGATTTTTGCCTCCCATGAGGCCCTTTTCGGTTCCCGTTCGATGCAATTTTTACACCACTGTGATCACCGCCCTTTTCTCTACAGGTTGACCGGAGTAAAACATCAAACTGCGACTCGCGGCGGAGAAGCCGCCGTACCTGAGAGCTCTGCCACCGGTAAGTCTTGATTTTTCATGATTTTTTGGCCCACCGAGGGCCCTAGGGTTGTTTTATCGCAAGAACCAATGCAAGTTTGGCCGAATTCGGCTGAAAACGGCCAACCCGAGGCAGATCGCCGCCACGGGTGGCGATGTCATCGCCGGAGCACGGCGGAGCTGCCGTGCCAGAATTCTGATATTGGTCGAAAAAGGGCCCTGGGTCTGATTTGAGATTTTTTTGGGACACGTGCAGGTACCAGTAGTGCATTTCAGTTTCCCAGAAAAAATTCAGGGAATTTAGGGACAGCCCGTAGGCGCATTTTAGAGCCGATTTCAGACCCCGAAACAAGTAAGAATTTCTCACTCTATTTTCTATCACAGTATTAAAGCCTAATAAATGATAAAACGGTATTTTATGACCTTATAGATATGTATAATTGATTGAGGTTGCCAATAGAGCTCGAATTTGATACATTGTCGTAAGTTGTTGTTTGATCTATTTTTCAATATTAAATGCAGTATAGTATTTGATGTATTTATTTTATGGTTTTGTATGCATGAATCATGGTTTCTTTTATTATGGTTTGAATTATGGTGAACCCGATATTGTGTTGTTTTGTTTGGTGTTATTATTGGTTTACGTGTTTGTGTATGATTGAAAAATTGAGACCAAGAAAAATGGGTAAAAAGTTATGTGAATTGATAAATAAATAATGTGGACAACTTGACTAGATATCCTGGGAGATGGTGGACAGAACAGATCCGTAAGGAACCCTATCGAGAATGTGGTCTCTCATATCAGACGGAGTATGGGGACGGCCCGTTTCACCCTTATACCGGACGGGGTATTAAGGTTCATGGTTTTGGCGCCCATACCGGACGGGGTATGGGGACGGCCCTGGAATCAGATTATTAATGTTAATAGTTCACGTGTAGCGGGGACCCCCTATGGATCCCCATGAACTAGTAGGCTGGCAAAAGAGAAAATTTGTTGCCTGATTATTGATGTGCAAAAGTATAACATGTGTTATGTTACAAGTGTATATGATTTTATGATGATTATAATGTTATTGTTTCCATATGATATTATCACGAATCTCACCGAGGTAAGTAGACAGTAAAAGTTTTTATCATTAATAAATGAGTTTGTTATAAATTATGCTCTATTGGTCGTTTTTGTTTTCTACCAACCTTTACTTCTATGACAGTTAGATAGTGTGTTGTCTTTACTGAGCTAGTGTAGTTCATTTCTTACTTAACCATTTCAGATCAAGAAGACGTGATTCCCGAGCCCGTTCTGCAGGAAGACGGCGATTTAGATGTCTAAAGATTTTATAGTTCTATTTATAGTTTTTATTTCGAGTATCTCTTTTAATTAGTTTATTCTTTTATATGTTGAATACGTTTTTGGTTATTGTGTAAGGAATGTTAATCAGAATTTTTATTTCGCTTCCGCATTTAAGATTTTTAATACATACATTTTCATTTAAATTTTCGGGACCGTTATAATATTAATTATCAAATTTAAGCAATAATTAGTTTACTATACAAATATTGAACTGTATACACACACACATTCATTATGCTCTTTGTATTATATTTAAATGAAAATGGAGAAAAACATATTATATTTAAAAGTTATCAATTAATTTATCCACTCACAAACCAAAGCTATGAATTACTATATACGTATGATGTTCAGAATATATGTTGAGAGTGTATTATATTTTCTATACATACATACATATATATATATATATATAGAGAGAGAGAGAGAGAGAGAGAGAGAGAGAGAGAGAGAGAGGGGCAAAAGGTCCAGCAAAGTAGGCAGACAGGGTCAGGTACAGGGCAGCGTCAGAGGGAGAGAACAACCAGAAATATTTTCGCGTAATAGCAAGAGTGTCATGACCAATTCTGAAATGCACGCCCATAATACATGAAGTAACTTGTGTACAATCATATACGCTGAAAGTTGATGGGCTTTTTTTTTCTTTCCCAAGTGCAATTTGAAGTAAATATGATACTTTGGATTACAATTTTTTTATTTTTAATGATAAAATTGCAGCAAATAACTAATGATGAGTTTAATACATGGTGATCTAGTTGTCAATAATTATTTTTTTATTTAAATTTCATAAGTTTAAATCTCAATTCATATCTTAACGGTGATTAACCTATAATACATGATTCAATAAAATCATTAACCTAATTTACTATACATTATTACTTTTTAAATTGGTTAAGAAAACAAAAAAATTGAAGTAGATATAAAAAAAAAAAAAAATGGTTACAAAAATAAGAAATCTGGGCTTCAGAAAGAAGAAATCTTCTAACCACCTTTATCCGTTAAGATGGGTTCGGGCCCATCAAATTTGAACTTGACAACGAACAAAAACGACACTATCTCAGTGCCGTTTCATCCCCGCCTCCCACCACAGATCCAGAATAATATGATCTTTAAGTTTAACCTTTATGAGAAATTATGTTATATAAATTTCATGATTCAACTTTATCTTCAATGATTTTATTTTTCAATTTTAAATTTTCACAAAATTTATGCATTCAACTAAACCCAAGTCCTAATTCAACGGGGGAATTTCCATTTAGTGTATAAAGATTTTTACCCAGAAATCTCAGAAATTTTTCTAAATGATTTTGAACTATTTACACATTCAAAGAGACATTCATACAATGCCAAAACTTCTGCAAGTAACTAAGCTCCTACATTAACAGCTCCCCTTCTACTTTTGTCAGTCAAGAAAAACTACCTAGAACCTACTTTTCCATATGCAATTCCCTTTGTCTAAATGTCCGTGTTCCAGTTGACTCATTTCGCTCATTGTTGCGTGACTTGTCTAACGAAGCTACTTTGCACGGTATGCTGAGGGATTAACAGCAGTTCTTATCTTTGGACCCTGTGAGAACTCACAAGCTTCACTGATAGAATTAAATCTCAGTTCAGCAGGAGGAATGAAGCAGTCAGGTGACAGGCCAGGAACATTAAATGCCACTTCCTCAATTGCCCATGCTTCTTCCATCCTGGTTCTAGTGTGGCTCATTGCTGTGTCTCCGAATCGGAAAAGTGATACCACAGAACGTCCAGAATGAGCAATCATTATTCCTTCTACAGGCTTATAATCATCAAGGAATGAGTTGATTGTAGTTTCCCAGTACACAGCATCACCCCCATTGTTCTGAATTCGTGTTAAATGAGAGTCTTCCAAGTGAACAAGAAGGCCGGTTTTCTGACTGAAGTAGCCAAACAAAACATGTCTTATGATCTCTGCCGGTCCTTCACTCCTGGCCTTCAGTGTAGCAGGATCCGCACAAAGCTTGAGGATGAAGCAATCTTCTTCATTGACTTTTTTCTCCCCTATGCATCTTGCATTGGCAAACATGCTAGCAGTGGTCCTTGGATCAAGACCCTGCACAGTGAGTGGTGTTTGACTCATAAAGTGAAAGGTTGATTCAAACAGTTGATGATCAAATTGAGAGAAAACGAAAACAGTGGACAAAATTATGAGAGGAGGCCTCACCTGAAGTGCTCGGCGCAATGGTCTAACAGGACCTTTAGCAGCATGTGCACCCAGCCAGGGTGTATGCCTCCACACAAGCTTCCCATTGCAGCCAGCATGAACCTTGCTGCCACCAAGTGCAAGCTCCACATACCACATATCTGGATTCATTTGCCAGAGAACAAACCCGCCTGACTCCGAGGCCTTGGATGAATTTTTGCTCCTTGTGACTTTGTTAGCTGTCTCGAACTCAGAAGCCATCATCCTAACCCTACCCATGGCATATGCATTGTGGATGGAGTTTTGAAGCTTCTGTCCACCCGAGGCTGCTGTATATTGCTGCAATATATACTGCGCGGATGATGTTTCCTGCAATATAAAGAAACAACCGTATTTATATAATTCTTTTTTTGATTGAAAAATGAAGAACCCTCAAATGTAATGATCAGATTCATCGTTTTCAGTGTGCAAATACAATACCAAAAGATTTTTAAATTTCTGCCGTTCTTTTTTATTTTAAGAAGAAAAAACTTCTGGGCTTTCTCCAATGATGAATGAGCAGTTATTTACTTGATTCAAGAATGCCATCTCTTGTTGAATGATGCAATTGATAAATGGTCCCGACCGGAACAATCAACACACTCTTGGTAAAAGCAACTGAAAGCAAAACCAACAACACAGATTCGAAAACAATCCAAAACAAGAACAAAAGCAAAGCTTTTCCCAAAGATGAATGAGCACTTAATTTTTCTTGATCCGCGCATGACATCCTCTTGTTGAGCCATAGAATTGCTGATGGTCCCAGAAGGAACAATCAACAGGCAATTGGTACAAGCAATTGATGGAAAAACCAACTACTTGGATTTGGAAACAAGCCTAACAACAAGCACAAAAGGCAAAGGCCATCTCATTCAGAAAATACAGAAAATCTTTTAACACCCTGTCAAGAAAGGGAAGATAACGTGTACGAACTACCTAACAAGAAATAAATTCCAAGTGGGGTACTCCATGAGGTCTAAAAACCAATGAAAAGAAAACGACATCTTTCTATGATTATGAATTCCAGCCACACTTTTTACTTCTCTTGATTCCTATTTTCTTCCTCTCTTTATTGATCTATAAAATTTTACCACAATATCAATATAATGTAATCATATTATATACGAACCAAGAACTGGTTCTGGTTTCCTGACAACAGAGTTCAATCATTTAATGAAACTATTAATTATCCATACATAAACATGCATAAAAACAAGGAAACTCCAACAAAGCACAAACTGTTAAGGAAACCTAGGTCAAATTCAGCGAAATAAATGCGAATAAGCCCAGAGATTTAACACAGACCCAGAAGAGCTACAGATGCCGAACAGGAAAAAAAACACATTGACGACTATAATAGATGTACCATTGTGAGAGAAAGAGATAGACTAACAATTGGGGTATCCTTGATGCTGGAGATGAGGCAAAGGATCCAAAGTGCTAACGTGCACCGGTGCCAGTGGTGCGCCCAGCACTCCAAGCAGCAACCTCAGATCGGACCGTTTGTAGGCCGAGGAGGAAACGGAAAGGCGTCCGAGCTAGCTGACTTCATCAGTTGGCCATCTCCTTCATCCTGACTCCCGCCGTCAGCTCCGTCCGGATCGGGCCCCTCCTTCAACGGTGATAAAGCCTCCGCCGGCCTCAATCCCCCCGATCTCGCAATCATCAGCTCGGGCTGTGCCATGTGCTGGCTCTTCCTCCGCCGCAGCAAGCTAGACATGGGAGACGCACTCCTCGCCGGACTCTTCGCTCTCGACCTACGCGGCGACAAACCTCTCACCACTTCACCTTTTAAGGCCGAGAAGAACCCCTGCTTCCTCTCCATTTTTTACTCTCCTACTCAACCCGAAACGTAAAGCAACAAAACCCAGAAAAGTAAAGGAGAAAACGACGGAGTAGACGATGGAGAAACGTTGTTTATGAGTCTTAAAGCGATAGAGAAGGACTGAACGGCCCGTACAAAGAGGCGCAATGGACACTGAAAAGCAGCTGAGCTGAAAGAGAGAGAGAGGTGTGAGCGAAAGAAAAAGAAAAATAGAAATGGGGAGTTTTCGGAATAATCAGGAATATTATATACTGATTGGGAAATGTTAGATAATTGCCGGGAGACCAACAAGACCGTAAATGAATTCCGTTATCTTTTTCCATCATAGTGTTATTTCCAGTAGCCGTGATAACCGGTTGTTAGCGCCGTTAGCAACGGTCAATTGTCATAATCAATAATCAGCGCGCTAAGCATGCGAGCCTGTGATAACTTTTCGACTTCCAACAGATTCTTCTCCAAATATCTTCCTCCTCTTACATTAAAAAATTAATAATAATTAATTGTTTATTATTCTTATTTTTTTTACACGATCACAACATGCCAGAAATATATTTATTGTACACAGGGCTCTAATTTAACATGAGTTTATAAATGGGTTTATTTCTTTCGTAATTATTTTAAACTAAAAATATTTTTAATGTAATGGGTTTTGACATACTTGTTATTCGAATTAAAAAGAATATATACATTCATGTGTGTGTGGGTCTTGCTTAAAAGTTTTGTGGATAGGTGGAGTGTCGCTGTGTCATCTCTTACAAGTTACAACAGAAGAGGAAGGCTATGGTGGTTTGACTAATCCGAAGTTGTTTTTCTTGGAGACAAAAACCAGAAGCGGCGAAAATGCGCCTTCCACCTAATATGCTTTGCAAGCACTTCTCAATCCCATCGCCAATCACGGAAGCTAGTTTACTTTTTCCTTTTTTTATTTTTTTATTTTTTTTTTCCATTGAATTTTTAATTTTCATAAAATAATAAATAGTGAATTTAGTCAAATTTAATCAGTTTAGTATTCATCCTAATTAAACTCATGCTCTGTTGTTGTATTAATTATTCTGCTGGTAAAATCTTTATTTATTTATTTTAAATGTGACACCTTTTTTTGGCTTTTGGCATGACTTAATTCCTACCACTAAAAAGAAAAGTAGTAATTAATTACCATAATTGCTCGGGGGAGCACTCCTCAATGTATTGGAGTGCATAAGAAATCAATTGCAATGATTCCCATAGACTTGTTATATATTAAGCTACATGCACCGCCTCATGTATCAATTCTTATCCATCAATTATGTATATATATATATATATATATATATATATATATATCTGTATATGTAGGACTGGTAATATATGTAACTTTATTATAAGATATTATAATTTTATGGTATTATAAAGAATTGCTCAATAAATATATATAAGTATATTATTACATGTAACGACTCCAGAAACATTTAAAAAATAATAATAATAATTAAAGTACGGAAATGTAATAAATGTTAAGGGTTTATATTTTTTACACGAATAATTTAAAGTAACAAACAACGTTACAGAATTCACTCTTTTGAAATAAACACAATAATAAGAAAATAAACGGGAAATAAAGAAATCTGACATCTACTCGCAATCCTCCTACGGATCACGCTCTAGAACCTGGTCTTCTTAATTTGAAGTAATTAAATAAATGATGAGTTACATTACTCCAGTAAGAATATCCCCCTATATCACTGTCACATAAGTAAATATTAGTATAAAAT